GATTCAAAGGAGAAGTGTAGAAAACTTGGGGGAGGGGAGGAATAAGCCTACAAAGACATTACTGATGCAAACTTTTTTTCTTCCTTTCCCAAGGACATTATTGATGTAGTGTCGTTTTACACTATGTTATATGATGAGCCAAAGCACACAGTGCTGTTCCAAACCACTGGCCAGACCCTAAGTATTGTTCTAGTCAAACACTCAGACACCAGAACTGATGGCGGGCACAGGAGGTGAACAGAAGCTAACTACTACAAAGAGATCCAAAAAAAGCTATAGCAGGATGGTTTGCACAGAGCTTTGTTATGATGCTTGATGCTTTGCTCTTCATCAATGTTCACAAAAATGCTTTTGGGATATGAGTGCCAAGAACTTACTGTTTTTAGGCAGTTGGGAAATTTTGCTTCTGTTTACTTCTCATGTACCACAACTTACACAGCAGGACTTCTGTATTTTACGACTGTACTAGCAAATGAATTTGTCCAGCAGATAACAAAAGTACAAAACAAGAAAACAGAAATTATCATGTATTACAAATTTAGATATTACAATGGAAGTTGTCTTTTCCCAGGAGGTGCTATAAGGAGAATGAGAAATTAAGAAAATTGTCTTCTTTTTCTTCCCTTAAGGAAACAAACACCACCACTGAAGTACAAGTTGGGAAGATTAATAAAAAATAACAGACATCAGTTAGAAGTTCATGTATTTCGCTATCTTCTAAAATCATTTTTGACAACATTATGGTATATCTGTCTCTTGTAATTGTATTTTCAGGTTCATATCTGCATGAAGAAAAATAACCTTATTTTCTGAACATAATTCAAAGTACAAATTCCTGAAAGCTAATACAATTCTCAAATACTGTTGAGACACCAAATGACATCGATTTATGCAACAGGACAGCATAAAAGCAAATCACCAGCACCATCATACAGACAACTATTCTTAATAAGGTTCATAGCAAGTTTCCCAGAGAATATTTTGCCAAAAGAAACTTCCTAGGAAAATAATCACTGGGGAAAAAAAAAAAAAAAAAAATCTTGTTTTCAAAGGAAGCTTTTTCTAAACAGTAAGTTAGAGTTCCGTTCACCTTTGTGCAATAACTATTCAAGCAGGTGATTTTCACAGGGCTGGATTTTTTTTTTTTTTTTTTTTTTTTTTCCATTGCTAAATCATACAAATATTGCAAGGATGAAGCCCATACGCAAGCTGAAAACCGGATACCACAGTAAACAGATTTTTATTCAGTAGTGATGAAACATGAGCCAAGATACAAGCTGAAGTTCAGCCCTTTAACTTTGTCTTGGCTACTTCCTTCTATTATATGTGAGACTCTTTCACACAGTCTCTGAAGTGTCTCAGCTCCTGTGGGGATTGGTCAAGGAACTGAAGTAATGCTATAAACTCTTCTAAACCCTATCAAGCAAAAGATAAGGCAGAAACATTTTCTTTTCTCACAGAGTGATATTATTCAGGGACAGGAAGCAAGAAGTAGGATTTTTTTTTAAGCAAAAGGATAGCTAGCTAACATATAGTTAGCATTAGAGAGCAGTGCTTACCTAATTACCTAAAATGCTGCAAATGCATTATTTTCATAGACTATACAATTCCACAGTTGTACAACATTGCTGTCGGAAGGAACCTTAAAAATAAGTTGTGTCCACTATGGATGTCCTACCAAGTGAATGAAACCAACTGCAACTGGCTTGGTAAAAATCACTTTCAACGTAATCACATTCATTGTACTCTAATAAACCGTCACTGTGACCAAAATACTTTTCCAGCAATTAAATACATGAAACGATACTTCTGGAAAGCTGACAGCCTTAAAAATAGATGTTAAGTATCACTTTCTAGCATGAGAAAATTTATTCTGGTAACGTGGCTCTTTCAGCAAAGCCTGTTATTCCTACACGTGTTTAATATGTGTTTTGGATGTTTTGTGAATTTCTTTTTTGGTGGGAGCATTAGCATTCTGGATTAATGGATAATGAGCAAGAATAAGAAAGCATTTCATCAAATTTATTGCTCACAGTAAGTCTGAATGCTAAGCCATTGGTTCTATCTTTTATTTCATTAAGGCAATGCATCATCTCTATTGTGATAACAGAACCAGTCGGCGCTTCTGGAGATCAAAGCGAATTACAAACAGGCCTGCCAAGCTGAGCATATGTAATTTTATATGTAATGTTGCATACAATCCACATCCTGACTCAGACTTGCAACCAGACAAAGATAATCTTTGTCTATTTATATAGCCTGCACTTACTACAGAGGTGTGCAAATCCTTGGGTCCTCGCTCTAACGCTACAACACTATGAACCAATAAATTTTGCTAACATGATTGCTGTTCTGGTATACAAAAGGTCTGCAAAATAAGCCATTCCTTCTAAAACCACATGAGGAAATCACTGGTAAGATTTTCAGAGTAACTATGGATTCATATAGCTTTAAACACCAGGAAAAGTTTGAACAATTTAAGCTGTCAACAGTAGACCAGTTGCACATAAGAACTCACGGTAGCATTATAAGAAATCACTCAAACACTAAATATGGGCAATTTTTTTTTCAGCTGACAATATTCCCAGACGAATGCTTCAGCATATTACAACACATGCCTAGAGTTTACTCTCTTTTCCTTCAATATCGTGTACATCTTCATTTGTCCTTACAATAACAAAGGAGAAAAATAGTCTAGGGCTTGGAGAACTGAACTAGACTTGAGTAGACATTTTGCAGAGCAACATTATATATGACTGCTTATGCCTCTGGAGCTTAATGATGAAATAAAAATAACAGTGTGTAATTTACAATTACTCTTAAGCTTTAACTGCAGTTCTCTCAAAACAAAAATCTACCTATTGCCTCCACTACTATATACTTACTCTATACTGCTATATACTATATCAGCTATTGGGATGAAATTAAAATAGAATGATTAAGTTAGACTTTTAAGGCAGAAGGATAGAAATTTAAAAGCACACACTTTACTCAAAGCAAATAAAATAGCTATGTTCATAGGGCATTTCTGTGAGCACTGGAGTAAACCACACATACTGAGGTGAAATAACTGGAACAGTTAATGTATACCATGTCAAGCCAACCGAAGCTAAGATAATAAAGAAAATTCATCAATAAATAATGTTCCTCATATGCAGCCAACTAAGAGCTATAACTGTTTCTAGAAAGTAATGTCAATATTTTTTTTCAAGCATACGGACACGGTACAGGTGAGAGAAAAGAATACACAATATGCTCAAACACAGTAGTGATATCTATACTTTAAAACATTATGCCATAAATACATTTCAACAGAGTAGAACACTCAATCATTTAAAATTTGCACACGATCATTTAAGCAGCCACTTACCCCCCACTAAGTAAAAATGGCAAAAGTGTCAGCAGGTAGAGGGCAAGACATGTTTAAAAGCAACCCCCATTTGGAAGGCTATCCGTGTTTGGAAGAGAACACATCGCAGGTAAAAACATGCATTAGGAAAATAAGTAACATTCAAAAAGCCAGAGGCACAAGTAAACTTCTCTAATAGCCTGTTTTATTAGAGGAAAACTACTAGGGAAAACATTTAGAATTTAGAACTACTTTTCTAGAAAAAATATTCAGAAAAATAATTAGTGAAGCTAGAGGATGCGGGTACGAAGGTCAAAAAGAAAAGTCACCTTCCAACATAAAATTAATCTGCTGTATCATTAACAGCCTGAAAATCACTACTTTCCTGCTGCTTTGAAGACATACATCTTACACTAGACTTATCTCGAGAAATGAGAAGAATGCAACACAATCACTTTTTCTGTGACCTCCCTCATACAACCAACTTACCTTGGGGATTTTAATCATGAACAAGGAAAAAAAAGCAATGTAATTCAATATCGTGCTCCTGGAACAGTTGTAACAAAAATGGAGTCTTGTATAAAAGGGAGCAAAAGAAAAGAGAATTGCTCTAATGGTATCTTTTGCAGCAACTTATCCCAAATACACCTTTCAATAGGGATGGAATATGAAAAAGAACCAGATGGATTTTAGAGACAAAAGAAAAGCACACCAGGAAACATCATGCAGTATTCATGCAGAAACGTGCCTGTCAAGCTACAGGTTGAGGGACCCAGCTTTAAAGGTTCTGAAACTTTTTAGTGCTGTTCAGAAAGGATCTCAAATATCAACAAATAATATGTTCTAAATCTTAGACAACCAAGTTAAAACATCAGTAGAGTTGAAACAGAAAGGATCTATGTATGCAAAGGTATCATTAGTCTAAAATGAGGATGGTCACCCTCCACATGTCCAAGAGGATCTTTCATTCCCAGCCACATCTCCAGGCAAAAATACAAATAAAAAATAAATTAAAAAAATAAATACAGCCATATTTCTAACACTAATCCTACTCAACCCAGCGTCTGTTCCTACCCCACATTCTTTCCTAGCAGCGGGCACAGGATCTTGCCACTCTGAGACAACCTCCTGAGCACCAGAACCAGCTGGAGTGAAGTGCCTTAAGGGGCAGATTCAGAACCCTTACAGGCTGTAAGCACCTTCTCTGCAGCCCTCTGCTTTCTCTTACAAATTATGGGCAACTTTTGTTCTGTCTTTCAAGTCAACGTGAAATGGTTCCCTAGATAGCCCTACAATGAATGCTACCTGCAGACAGTGGCATTCTGAAGAAAAGGCAGATGAGACAAAATATACAAATATATCTGCCTTTCTTTCCAAAAAGCTATCTTTTTGTGATTACCATTAGAAAAACATGCAAGTGAGAGAGCATGTAACCAAGATAATTTTACTCTAAAAACACAACCTCCCTCCTGAGTACTTTCCACGTCTGGAAGAAAAAGACAGGAAGGTCTTCACAGTACTGCACTGTTAGATTTCAGTAAGGCAGGAGTCTGAATTACAGAAATAATTGCTACCTAAATCACACAGTCATGAAATCAAAGTGCAAAAAAAAAACAGCAGGAAAAGATTTTTCTCCATTTGATATACTCACCAAACCTGCAATGGGGGTTGGTAGTCTATTGATCTTTTTGACCAATCCTGGCTTTATAGCATTCAGCAACCTGTTATGAGAAAGGAGTATTTATGAGTGCTAAATCACAAAACCCAAATTATCAAATACTTGTTCCCAGCATATAAACATTTCAGTATGGCTGGAAGAGATTCTTCCCATTGTCTTCTCCTGCAAATGCACAAACATATCTGAAGTTCCATCACTGAAATGAAGGAAAGCTAGAAAGAAAAATGCCCTCAGTACCCCAAGGAAGAATAGCCTGACAGTTTCCACACCGCAGGGTGAGGCATTTTCATCATAAACTCCTCTTGTTACAAACCGTGTTTCCCTGCCACTCTTCTCCCAAATGAAAATCTCATGCTTTTTATCCAAAGGATGAAAATTCCATCCCGACCACCGAGAAGAAAATCATCAGATCAAGATAATCACTTCAAATTCAAGATCTTGAAAGAGATCAACATCAAGGACTATGTTTAAAACTCTACAAATCAGAGTACCCACAATGAAACAGAAGAAATCTCCCAGTGTGCTGACAATGGTTCAGGAACCATTCAGGAACCATCTTCTCCAGCAGCCTATTATAACCATGAGTGGCAAAGAACACAACGTAAATGGCATTCAGATGAGCTGAGGTGGGGGAGCAATTTTTAAAAAAAAATTTTATTTTTTAAATCTTTTTGCAGTTAGAAACTGTAACTCAACTTCATAAAAACTGCTGTACTACTCCCGACTTTTGCTTATGATAAAATCTAGAATTCTCACATCCTAGAAAACAAATGATGAAAGAATATACTTCATATCAAAAACCCAACACTTTTTTTTTTTTTTTTTTTTTTTTTTTTACCCCTAAGTACATAGAATAGCATAGAAGTAATAATACATTTCTTTTCCTATGATTGTAATTTTATTGCAGAGAGGACAAACAAAAATTACTTTGTTTTCCCCAAATGCACAAACTTATTTTTCAGACTTGCAAAGCAGCAGTCCTATAAACCAATATTTTTCATTCAGCTGCTGCAACAAGCAATGTAAGATTTCTTTTTCTTCACGACACTTTCTGAATACTCTACTTCTGTTGAGACTTCAATCTACAGTGCCTATTCTGTCCCAAGGAAAAAATTATATATTAACAAAAGTATCCAATTTTCTTTATTACTGATATGTGAATATACCAGGCACAATAACACATACTGCAAGAGCACATCAAATGCCATAAACAATAGAAAGTAAAATAAAGAGGTCTTAATGGAAACCCCAAAGCCAAAGCTTGTTCCCAGTAAACTTTCAGACTGGTGTGTACAGGGTTCTCTGTGAGATATGGGGGAGGAGTAAGACAAGAGGAAGGAAAAGAGTAGGGAATAAACAACACTTTAGATCACCATTCGGAGTCTGAAGTGGGAGGAAATGGGCCAGGGCAGGATGGAAAAGCCTGAGGAAGAAAGGTCTCTATTATTAAAATGTTTACCTCCTGTTGGAAACATCTCTAAATGGTCTGGCACTAAAACCTCCAGGACTGGCCCACTGCAGAATGTGCCAAAGGCAGATTTCTTCCAGAGCAGTCTGGCTGCTTCTAAATTATTGCCTCATCTAGAGCAACAGTCCCGATGCCAAAGTACTGAGTGTCGCCAGCTTGCCCAGCCACCAGCCTGGCTGAGAAGCTGAGCTGTTTACACAGTGTCACAGTGTCAGCCTTCAGTCCCATAGATGTTATCTGCTCATTTCTCCAAGAGAGCTACCAAACATACCACTTCCTGCACAAGCCAACACACACAAACTAATTTTTTTCTGTGCTCTTTGGACTCATATAGAGCATCTGTCTTGATACGTGAAATTCTATCAACTCCAGCAGGTTTCTGTGAAAATACAGAGCCAACAAAATACCCATCGATGCTGCACTGCAGACTTGGCCTAAGCAATGACCCAGGGGTAAATCTTGCTGTTGGGAAAATGCTTTCTGATCCAGACCTTCCTACAGCAGCCCCTTTCCAGCCCTGCCATAGCAGCAGCTCCAGGCTTTGTGATGCTCCCAGTCCTATCCCTAGGTGCATTCAGAGGTGAAGACATGACCCCCAGGGAACAAATTCATGGAAGAGTGAATTTTTGTTGCCTAACCCTTCCTACAACCCCACTACATTGGCTCTATTTGCAAGACCTCTACAGCTACGGCTCTTGGCCTTGTCACTCTCCCAGCCATAGCCCTGACCACAACAGCGTGAGCTGATTTGCTTATAAATATTTGCCATTTGCAGTACTTTCCCTTCCACTCAAATAAGATGTCATAAAAAATCCACCAGAACCACTTAGAAACCTTGGCAAATGCTACCTGGCAAAGCACTGTTCTAGCTAATGGACTGCAGGCATCCGGAATGAGATGACATGACTGTAACCAGAAGCAGGTATTTTTTCTGCACTTAACTGCACAGCAAGGCTAGATGATTGCACTGCAGGCATCTACAGATAGAGGAACAATTCCAGCATCTGTTGTCCAGCCATATGGGTCATCTGAAAATCTTATGAGATAACATCCTTCCTTAACCCCCAAAAGAAACAAAACAACTTCAGAGTCTTCTGTCAGAACAGATGTTGTAGGAACAAGGTAGAATCCATCAGTTTCCACATCCGGTGTATCACATACACAGTATTCTATGCTTTATTTTCACAAGTTTACCTCTATTACACAAGTTAACCCTACCATTTTCAGGCCACAGGGCAGGAAATCAACATAACCCCAAGTGCTAAGACCCTATCTTGCAGTCAGGTTAGACAAGTTAGTTCCATCACTTTTGCAAGCATGTGACCAAAACTGAGACTAAAAAGTGTGTCGTCTATTTTTCACAATATGAAAGCCTCCTCTAACTTTTTTTTTTCTTTCCAATGACTTGGCCACTCACTTGTTCTTGCAGCAGGAAAACACTTGAAAGCACCAGCTGAACAAAAATTGATGACACACATACAACCCTCTGCCTCAGACATCTGGTTAGAATGTCCAGATCAGCAATGGTGATCAGTTTATTGAAGTCACCAAGGTCCCTGCTGGCAGGGTTAGAGAGAAGTTTTGAGACAGAAACCAAATCGTACTCAGACTCTGAATGACCACCTGTTTCTCTGAGAACCTCCTAGCTCTTACTTACCCTGTCTCCCACTTTCTCCTTCAAGGAAGCAGTCCTTTTCCTTGTGCAGTAAAAATTATCAAAGTTCAGGTATTTTCATCCCTGTGAGGGTATCAAAGGCAGACATGCAGTTCGCTCTTAACGTAAATGTCAACCCTCCTGTTCTTCCTCGAAGATAAAGAAAGGTCCACAAGATCCAAGCTCAAGTTTTCTCAAGCACACATCTATTAGTTCAGGTTTTTGTATAGTTGAGTTCTTCAAACAAAGAAAACCCACAAGCAGATTTTCATCATTCATTGTCTCTAAAGACACAACAAAATCTTTACATCACCACATACTACATTCTGCTATGTAGAAATTGGTAAACTACTGTTTAAATTGTCAGAGTTGAAGCATAGAAGTTGGATTTTTATTTTTTGTTAATGTATTGGTACTATATTCATATATTTCATATTCCTGAAACCAGGAATCTAGAAAACCAGATGCAAGTGGGAAAAGTCCAGCTATGTTGTCTTGAGAAAAGAAAAAAAAAAAGCAGAAAAAAAAAAAAAAAAAAAGGTTATTTTTAAGTCTTCCGTGACTTTTCCTTTTTCCCTTCCCCTCCAGTAAGACACTGCTAACTTAAGGTCTGATATGAAATTGTGAGGGAATAGACACTATGAAACAGTGCCCTTCAGTGCTGTTCTCAAAAGGAGATCATAGGTACCTTCCCTAAGTTTGACCTTTTTTTGGTTGCTGGGGTTTAATGACCCACGACCATATTGGAGATGACTGCCAAAACAAGGTTATGGAGGACTTCAAAAAAACTTGCAACAGGCAACTTGCTTCACAAAGTAAACGTTTTGGAGTCTTAACTACTACTGTTGCTAAAAGCTATTGATATGAAGAGCACTTTTCCTTCTGAGGGAATTCTGGTTTCTGATATATCCTGTACTTCTCTGACATAACCAAAAGGAACAAATGATGAGGAAATCTCAAGGAACATTTTAAAGTAAAAGAAGAAAAAACATAGCAAAATGAAAATACATGAGGCAGAATAGTTCTTGAAAAGAATTCAAATATAATATGATGGAAAAAAAAATAAAATCCCACCAAACCCCCCCAAAACAGCAATCCAACACAGGGTAAAACCAAAGCTCTACAGGTTCCCTTTGTAAAACAGCAGTCCCTGCATGCACACACCTGACTCATTACCAAGGTCCTTCAAACTCTCAGCTAGGATTTCTGTCCAGCTTTTCTGGCATTTATGCACTTGTCCTGAGACAAGTCAGCCCTGTTTTTCACTTCTCTCCTTAAAGTTCTCTTTCCACTTTCAACACAACATTTACACATCCATCCCATCCACCCCTTCCCTCAACCAGGCACTGACTTAGATCCTTTAGTGGTCAGCTCTTACGTGCAGCTTGCTAAGACTGCACAGGAACAGCCTTACCTTATGAAAATGTCAGGGCACAGAGGCGATGGAAAGTTGATCCTCTCCCACTCTTATAGGGAGAAGGTAGGTCACTTCCTTCCCCTTGTGAAAAACAGCTCTGGTACGTATGTGGAGAATCAATTGCTCTATTTGGTACCGTCCCCAAGGCTTGAAATTCCAGGAGATAAGGTATCTCTGCAGTAGGACAGACAGGCTGAAATCAGTACTAGCCGCTGTGTGACTAACCTATGAGACCTTCCTCGGGTTGTTTATCACTGGTTAAGAATTTGAAAGGCTTCTGCCAGGAAAAGAAGGCGTTTCAGGCAACAGCTGATAAAAGATCTAAAAAGATCTGAAAAGCACCAAGACAACTGCACATGAAATTCTTGCAAGAAAGCGTCAGTTAAGAAAATATTCAAAGGATGGCTGCCAAATCCAGCCTCCAAGAAGACTTAGCTTCTAAGAGGAAAAATTTCGGAGAATAAGCTTCAGAAATGGAAAAATGAAAGGTTGAAATGATGTGTG